AAAAAATAAAGTTAGCCACTGTTTCCACTGTCTCCCCATCTATTTCCCATGAGGTGATGGGACCAGATGCCATGATCTTAGTTTTCTGAATGTTGAGCTTTAAGCCAACTTTTTCACTCTCCTCTTTCACTTTCATCAAGAGGCTTTTTAGTTCCTCTTCACTTTCTGCCATAAGGGTGGTATCATCTGCATATCTGAGGTTATTGATATTTCTCCCGGCAATCTTAATTCCAGCTTGTGCTTCTGCCAGCCCAGCATTTCTCATGATGTACTCTGCATATAAGTTAAATAAGCAGGGTGACAATATACAGCCTTGACATACTCCTTTTCCTATTTGGAACCAGTCTGTTGTTCCATGTCCAGTTCTAACTGTCGCTTCCTGACCTGCATACAGGTTTCTCAAGAGGCAGGTCAGGTGATCTGGTATTCTCATCTCCTTCAGAATTTTCCACAGTTTATTGTGATCCACACAGTTGAAGGCTTTGGTATAATCAATAAAGCAGAAATAGATGCTTTTCTGAAACTCTCTTGCTTTTTCGATGATCCAGCAGATATTGGCAATTTGATCTCTTATTGCTCTGCCTTTTCTAAAACCAGCTTGAACATCTGGAAGTTCTCGGTTCACATATTGCTGAAGTCTGGCTTGGAGAATTTTCAGCATTACTTTACTAGCGTGTGAGATGAGCGCAATTATGCGGTAGTTTGAGCATTCTTTGGGATTGCCTTTCTTAGGGATTGGAATGAAAACTGACCTTTTCCAGCCCTGTGGCCACTGCTGAGTTATCCAAATTTGCTGGCATATTGAGTGCAACACTTTCACAGCATCATCTTTCAAGATTTGAAATAGCTCAACTGGAATTCCATCACATCCACTAGCTTTGTTCATAGTGATGCTTTCTAAGGCCCACTTGACTTCACATTCCAGGATGTCTGGCTCTAGGTGAGTGATCACACCACTGTGATTATCTGGGTCATGAAGAAATTTTTTGTACAGTTCTTCTGTGTATTCTTGCCACCTCCTCTTAATATCTTCTGCTTCTGTTAGGTCCATACCATTTCTGTCCTTTATTGAGCCCATTTTTGCATGAAATATTCCCTTGGTATCTCTAATAGTCTTTCCCATTCTATTGTTTTCTTGTACAGGAGACAGGGATCAAGACCATCCCCATGGAAAAAAAAATGCAAAAAGGCAAAATGGTTGTCTGAGGAGGCCTTGCAAATAGCTGTGAAAAGAAGAAAAGCAAAAAGCAAAGGAGAAAAGGGAAGATATTCCCATTTGAATGCGGAGTTCCAAAGAATAGCCAGGAGAGATAAGAACTCAACATTAGAAAGCCTGTAAAGATCTTTTCTGCCTGTGGGCATGAGACTACCAGGCAGTTGGGGATTAAAACGCAGGCTTCCAGGCTCTGATTAGCTGTGTGACCTTGGATTGGTTACCTTTTGAGGCTGAGTTGACTTATCTGTAAAGAAGGTTGTTGTAAGGACCAAGTGAGATAATTTATCTGAAGTGCCTGGCACCCCTAAAGCTAAAGAAATGTTGGTTGGATGGGTGGTTTAGTCCCTAAGTCATGTCTGACTTTTGCTACCCCTTGGAATGTAGCCCACCAGGTTCCTCTGTCCTTGGAATGTTCCAGGCAAGAATACTACAGTGGGTTGCCATTTCCTTCTCCAGGGGATCTTCCTGAGCCAGGGATCAAACTCAGGTCTCCTGCAATGCAGGTGGATTCTTTACTGACTGAGCCACCAGGAAAGCTGGTGTGATGTTGGTTATTGTTGCTTGAATAGTAGTAAAGGCAGAGCATGGATGTGTGTTATTCAAAGTGGAAAAATGCATGTGCACCAATGGCCAAATGACAAGGATTTGTAGGCTGGTTTATAATTTTCCTTTTCCTTTGCATGCACTTTCTGAACATATTTTATTTTTCTTCATTTCTGTATATTTGGCAATTGTTAATGTCTGTATATTTGGGCAGTTCTACCCAAGGACAGTAATTTACCCATTCTTTCAATAAGTCTTTTTGAGCCAGGCTTAGGGATAATTCCCCTGCCCTTGGGGGAGTTTTCTCAATCTCTTTAGGGAGTGCTTGTGTTACAAGGGGGAGAAGGGGTTGCCCAGTGAAAAAAAAGGTCAGCGTTACCACAACAATGACTGGTTTGGACTAGAAAGTAGAGTTCTAGAAAGGCTTCCCAGAGGCCCCCTTGCTGCCTTTCTCCCGCTGGGTCCTTGTAGCGCTTGACTCAGGCCTCCTCTATGGTCCTTACCAGGTTTGTTGTCTGACTCCTTCCATAGGACTTCCTCCTGGACAGGGACCCAGGTTCTCTCTTTTTTTTCTTTGGCTTGCTCAGCATGTGGGATCTTCGTTTCCTGACCAGGGATTGAACCCACGCCCCCTACCTTGGAAGTGTGGAGTCTTAACAACGGGACCACCAGGGAAGTCCAGAACTCCTTATAGCCGACTAGTGAAAGTTTGATGAACAAATAATCGTGGGGAGTTCCCTGGTTGTTTAGTGGTTAGGATTCCAGGCTCTCACTGATGTGGCTTGGGTTCAATCCCTGGTTGGGGAACTGAGATACCGCAAGTTACGTGGCAAAAAAAAAAAAAAAAATGTGTGGATGTAAGGGATGGTCAGTTAACAAAAGAATTATTCCTTTCAACCCCAACCCAAAAGGAAATGTGGTATTTATTGGATGCATGTGGAGAAAGGAAAGATTGCTTTAGCATTTACCTTCATTCCATTTGACAAAATAAGGGAGAGAAGTTGGTTTATTTTTCATTTATTTTTGGCCATGCCACATGGCTTATGGGATCTTAGCTCTCTGACCAGGGACTGGACCTAGGCCCTTGGAAGTGGAATTGTCAAATCCTGACCACTGGACCGCCAGGGAAGTCCCCAAGAGAAGGTTGACAGGTAAGGTAACTAAAGTGGGCATATTTTATATCCCTTGGTGGGAGTGAAGCCTGTCATATGGTTTCTTGCAGTCTAACCAAGTACAAGTGTAACAGGAGCGAAGAGGGCAGGGCACAACTTTTGAAAGAACCACATAGCCCAAGGACACAACATAAACCAATTAGAATCAAATGGGTCCAAGATGGCAGACAAGTCGATTTTAATTAGACCTTGATCCCCAATCAGCAAGCTAAATGAGGCACCCAGAGGCGCCATGACAGTTCCAAGTAAAGTGAAAGTCGCTCAGTCATGTCTGATTCTTTACAACCACATGGACTGCAGCCTGCCAGGCTCCTCTGTCCATGAAATTCTCCAGGCAAGAATCCTGGAATGGGTTGCCATTTCCTTCTCCAGTAACAGTTCCAAGACACTATCAAAAGACCAAGGAGTACACAGTGGCCCAATTCCTGCAAATCTCCACCGCTTCCCCAAAATGGGTTTCCCTGGTGGCTCAGACAAAAGAATCCACCTGCAATGCGGGAGACCTGGGTTCCATTCCTGGTTTGGGAAGAGCCCCTGGAGAAGGAACAGCTACCCACTCCAGTATTCTGGCCTGGAGAATTCCATGGCTAGAGGAGCCAGGCAGGCTACATACAGTCCAAAGAATCGAACATGACTGAACAACTTAACACTTTCCCCAAAATAGTTAGAATGATCCTCCCACTCATTGGCATATGGATTTCAGCAGCTCAGTCATTCACTGATTCTTTGTGGTCCCGTGGACTGCAGCATGCCAGGCTTCCCTGTCCATCACCAACTCCTGGAACTTGCTCAAATTCATGGCCATCAAGTCAGTGATGCCATCCAACCATCTCATCCTCTGTTGTCCTCTTCTCCTCCTGCCTTCAATTTTTCCCAGCATCAGGGTCTTTTCAAATGAGTCAGTTCTTCACATCAGTTGGCCAAAATAATGGAGTTTCAGCTTCAGCATCAGTCCTTCCAATGAATATTCAGGACTGACTTCCTTTAGGATGGATTGGTTGGATCTCCTTGCAGTCCAAGGGACTCTCAAGAGTCTTCTCCAACACCACAGTTCAAAAGCATGAACGCTTCGGCTCTCAGCTTTCTTTATAGTCCAACTCTCATATCCGTACTTGACTATTGGAAAAATCATAGCTTTGACTAGACAAACCTTTGTCATCAAAGTAGTATCTCTGCCTTTTAATATGCTATCTAGGTTGGTCATAGCTTTTCTTCTAAGGAGGAAGCATCTTTTAATTTCATGGCTGTAGTCACCATCTGCAATGATTTTGGAGCCCCAAAAAATAAAGTCTCTGTTTCCATTGTTTCCCCATCTATATGCCATGAAGTGATGGGACCGGATGCCATGATCTTAGTTTTTTGAATGCTGAGTTTTAAGCCAGCTTTTTCACTCTCCTCTTTCACTTTCATCAAGAGGCTCTTTAGTTCTTCTTTGCTTTCTGCCATAAGGGCGGTGTCATCTGTGTATCTGAGGTTACTCTTTGATATTTCTCCTGCAATCTTGATTCCAACTTATGCTTCATCCAGCCCAGCATTTCTCATGATGTACTCTGCATATAAATTAAATAAGCAGGCTGATAATATACAACCTTGACATAATCCTTTCCCAATTTGGAACCAGTCTGCTGTTCCTTGTTTGGTTCTAGCTGTTGCTTCTTGGCCTACATACAGATTTCTCAGAAGGCAGGTCAGGTGGTCTGGTATTCCCATCTCTTGAAGAATTTTCCACAGTTCATTGTGATCCACATAGTCAAAGGCTTTGGCGTAGTCAATTAAGCAGAAGTAGATATTTTTCTGGAACTCTCTTCTTTTTCAATGATCCAATGGATGTTGGCAATTTGATCTCTGGTTCCTCTGCCTTTTCTAAATCCAGCTTGAACATCTGGAATTTCACAGTTCACATACTGTTGAAGCCTGGCTTGGAGAATTTTGAGCATTACTTTGCTAGCATGTGAGATAAGTGCAATTGTGCAGTAGTTTGAACATTCTTTGGGATTGGAATGAAAACTGACCTTTTCAGTCCTTTGGTCACTGCTTATGGCCACATGAAATTACCCAGCCTATAAAGACTAACCATGCCACATTTCACAGCCACACTCGCCCTCTGTGATGGCCCACACTCTGCCTGAATCTGAATCTGCTTCTTTCTGAATCTGGATAAATCCACTTCTTACCTGTCTCTGTCTCTCACTGTATTCTTTCTGCAATGAGACATCAAGAAACTGAGCTTCATTAGGTCCGTAGCATATATCGTGGGCTTTGGCTGGGCTTGAGTCCCAGTCATGTAGGTTGAAGTCCCAAGCAGGGTTTTGGCTGGGTTTGAGTTCCCACCACATGGGTTCAAGTCCCAATCTGAGGCAAACAGTTTCACAAGTGGTAGGAGAATGAGGTGGCTGGCAGTCACTCATGTAATAGCAAGAAGGAGGCTGTCTCCACGGGGAGTAAGCTCGACAAAGCACTGGCAACGTCTTGGAGGAGCAGACATCTCTTGGCCCCGTTTATCCTTTGCTTGTCCTCTTTCTTCCCTCATCTCTTAGGATCTAGGGAACCCCTTTCAAGTGAAGGATAGAAGTGGAGAAATCTTGCTTTTATTCATGGTGTTTTCTCCCACATGGTTTGTTCTTGCGTAAAGTCCTCTTTTCTTACCCTTGTTGACCTAGGATTTTGAAACTCAAAAGCTAAAGAAATACAAATATTTTTTCAAATCAGAAATAATTTGGAACTTTCCTGGCAGTGCAGTGGCTAAGACTCTGTACTTCACTGCAGGGGGCACAGGTTCGATCCCTGGTTGGGGAACTAAGATCCCACATGACATAGTATGCCCCCCCCAAAAAATAATCAGATATAATTCATTTCTATCATCTCAAACATTCCTTCACATCCTTCTTTTCTATAATGAACCCACTTCTCCCATCCTTAGCCCCTTGAAAACAACTGATCTCTTTTCTGTTTCCTTTTCTAGAAAATCTATATAATATATATTATATAGAAAATATATATAATATAATATATAATATATAATATATAGAAAGCCTTTCTTTCATAATGCTTTAAAGGTTCATCCACAATGTTGAATGGATCTGTAAGTCATTCCTTTTTACTACTTAATAGTATTTCATTGTATGGATATACCACAGTATGTTCACCAGTTGATAAATGTTTGTGTTGTTTCCAGTTTCTGACTATTATTGGAGAAACTGCTCTTAACGTTTGTGAACAAGTTTTGGTATGTATTTTGTATATACTTTCACTTCTCTTGGGTGTCTTAGATATGAAATTGCTAGATCATATGGCAAATGAATGTTTTAAGTTTAGAAGAAACTATCGAACTTTTTCCAAAGAGTCTGTGCTGTTTTGCATTCCCACCAGCAGTGCATGAGAGTTCTGGTTGCTCCACATTGTTGCCAGCACTCAGAATTGTCTGTTTGTTTATTTTCCAGTTTAGTCCTTCTGATAGATGTAGACGCTCACTTATTTTTTCTTTGGGATAAATGTGCAGAAAATCCTATTTGACAAATAAAGCCAAGAGGAAATTTAAGAGTAACTTTACAACATAATAAGCAAAAATGTATCATTTCATAAGAAAACATAAAGGTAAGAAGGAAAAACTAAAGAAGTGAGGAGCAATGTTGGGAAGTGGGACCTAGGTATGTGGTCTCATAACCTTTCCAGTATAGTTCTTTTCTGTCATCCGTTTATACAGGACACAATGCTGTTGTTGGTTAGTGGCAAAGTTGTGTCCGACTCTTTGCGACCCCATGAACTGTTCTCCAGGCTTCCCTGTCCTTCACCATCTCCCAGAGCTTGCTCAAACTCATGTCCATTGAGTCGGTGATGCCATCCAACCACCTTATCCTCTCTTGCCTCCTCCTCCTGCCCTCAATCTTTCAGAGCATCAGGGTCTTTTCCAATAAGTCTGCTTTTTGCATCAGGTGGCCCAAGTATTGCAGCTTCAGCATCAGTCCTTTCAGTGAATATTCAGTGTTGATTACCTTTAGGATTGACTGGTTTGATCTCCTTGTTGTCCAAGGGACTCAGACAGGGCACATACCTTTGGCCAAATTTTCTGACTAATCCATTTGGAAAAATCTACTTTTCTCTCAGCATTGGTTATACAACCAACCACTTTTTGTAACTCCTGTTTTCCAACTTAGTCTCCTTTAAACCGGAAATGTCAGCACTCACAGAGACAGGTGAGACAATAGCATTGCTAAAATAGCCACATGTAAAATTATTATAAAAGATTGCACATTCAAAGGAATACCTCACCCTTGGCCCAAAGTTATGTTATTTTTCAGTTCTTAAGAGGTAGTTTGACATTAAGAGTCTTTGAATTCTTCTGAAGACTCATCTTGTACTTTTCCTTGTCACTCCTCATTCACTTCATCGACACACACATTTGCAGGATAATCTTGCAATTTATCTTTTGGCCCTTTATTTCCAGGCTCCACTGAGACTATTATGACCTCTAAAAGAGGCTGCTTGAATCAAGATCCAGAAACCTCAGGTGTGAAATAGAGACTGCCACCCCCTCCTTATGCATGAGATTGGAAAGGAAGGCATTTCTTCCAGCTGTGTTTGGGACACACACGGGGGCTTTGTTTACCCAGGGATGCTTCAAACACGTCCGTGCAGCCAACGAAAAGAACAAAGGACCCCACATCCTACCCTGACAGTCTATGTCCCGCTTCCTTTCCTCCAAGGAGAAACTGCTGCTTGTAGACATACTTGCCTGCACCAGTCACCTCTCTTTTACCAAATGCAAGGGAGAGCAAGCAGGCAGAAGGGTCGGCATTTTGAAGAATTCAGGTAATCTGCTGACTGGTTGACAAGGCTTACTTTTCATTTCTAGGCGATAAGTCGTAATTTATAAGCAAAAGGCTACTCTTGTCTTCAGCCATCATCTGCATCCATATTCCCCACGGCCCTGTATCCAGGGTGACCCAATAGTTTGGCAAACGAAGAGTGTGCTGACATTGACTGTTCATATTTGAGAGCCAGACTCCAGACTTTTGGTTCAAAATGTGATGGTGACACAATGGGGTCAAGAGAAGCTGTCAGGAAAATAGCTCCTAAGAATAGCTCATATGTATTGAGCCCTAGCTCTGCACCAACCACCGCATGCTCCACATGTTCTTTTTATTTTTGCCATGCTGCATGGCTTATGGGATTTTAGCTCCCCAACCAGGGATCAAACCTGAGGCCCTGGCAGTGAGACGCCGAGTCCTAACCTCTGGACAGCCAGGGAATTGCCACATGTTTGTTTCATTACTAGACCTCACATGAACCCTATGATAGATCCTAGTATTAACTCAGTTTTACAGTAAAGAAAACTGAAGTTCAGTGAGAGAGTGACTTTACCTAAGGGCCCAGTGTTAGCACATAGTAGTGTGTTTATGTGTGTGTGTGTTAGCCACTCAGTCGTGTCCGACTCTTTGAGACCCCATGGACTGTAACCTGTCAGGCTCCTCTGTCCATGGAATTCTCCAGGCAAGAACACTGGAGTGGGCTGCCATGTCCTTCTACAGAGCAGATAGTAGAGCTAAGTTTTAATTATAATTAGTAGAGCTAATATTAATAGATGATGTGAGTCTTCATTCTTAACAACTACTATATTCTCAGGGGACTTCCATGGTAGTCCAGTGGCTAAGACTCCATGTTCCCAATGCAGGAGGCCTAGGTTCAATCCCTGGTAAGGGAACTAGATCCCACAGACTGCAACTAAGAGTTCACACACCACAACTAGTAGATCCTGTGTGCCACAACTAAGACCCAGTACAGCATAAATAAATAAATAAATTGTTTTTAAAAGAACAAAAACAAAACAAAAAGCTGCTACATCCTGTCTCAACTAGAGCTCCATTGCAGCAAAAATCCACAGGTAGGTAAGTCTGACAGTGGGAAAATGTAAAGATCAAAATTGCCCAGATTTTGAAATCTACTTCGAAAATCAATTCACTTCAATAAGTCATTCATTTATTCATTTAACAAAAATGTATGAGCATATACAGATACAGATGTTGAGCCTACACTAGTTATAACTATGGTTCCTGCCCTCATGAATCTTACAAAAGAGAAACAGTTTGTAAAGGGAAAATTACAGTAAAAATTGATGTATTTTATCAGACCTATGAAGGTGCAATGCCAAGGAGAAGGAAGAGGTACCTAGACCTGACTATGAGTGTGAGAAAAGGCTTCCTGGAGAAGACATTTTAGCAGCTGAGTCTCAAAGAAGAGGGGCTTACAGATCCCCTGGAGGCAAGGGAGAAAGAGCCTCTGCATGGCAACCCACTCAGTATTCTTGCCTGGAGAATCCCCATGGACAGAGGAGCCTGGTGGGCTACAGTCCATGGGGTCACAAAGAGATGGACACAACTGAATGACTAAACACAGCACAGATGATGCTAGTAGTAAAGAACCTGCCTACCAATGCCAATGCAGGAGACATAAGAGACTCAAGGTTGATCCCTGGTCAAGCAAATCTCCTGGAGAAGGAAATGGCAACCCACTCCAGTATTCTTGCCTGGAAAATCCCATGGACAGAGGAACCTGGCGGGCTACAGTCCATGGTGTCGCAAAGAGTTGGACATGACTGAAGCAACTTAGCAAGTAGGCTCAAAGAATAAAGAGGAGTCAGGCAATAAATAGGGTGTGTGCGTCTGTGTGTTTGTGTACATGCAGAGGTGCTTGTGTATATGGGGTGGGTGTTGCACAGAGGAGAAAAGGAAGAAGCATAGTATTCATATTTGAGAGCACATGTTTGGTGTACCTGGAACAGGGGCTTCAGTGGAAACAGTGGGAGAGGAGGATAAGGCTGCACAAGGAGGTTGGGACCAGATCTTTGAAAGGCCTTATAAGGGCCTTCAACTCACAGGCAACAAGAAACCATTAAAGGATTTTGAGCAGAAGTGTGACATGATCAGATGTGTGTCAAGGGAATTCTCTGGCAGTCTAGTGGTTAGGACTCTGAGCTTTCACTACGGTGGGAAAGGTGAGTGGTTCAGTCAAAGGGGAAAAAAAAAAAAAGATAGGTATCAGATCCAACATGGTCAGTTACGAAAGAAGACATGGAAACAGAAAATCTAGGAGGATGGGACAATTTCAAAGATGAGAAAAGATGAAATGCTTAACCTGGGGCAGTGCCCAAAGGGATAGGGAGGAACAGACAAACAAGGAGATTAAGAAGGTGGGATCTCTGGGACTGAGGATTGCTTCACCATGAGGTATTGCAGTGGTTAACTGCATGTGGCTCCACATTGCATTGATTCCATACATTTCATAGCTGTGTGACTCCATCAAGGTACTTAAACCATCCGCCTTGGTCTCCTCATCCATAACATGAGGACACAATAGTACTTACAGCAAAGGATTGTTGCAAAAGTCAAATGAGATCCATGCGTCAAGAACAGTGAGTGCTGGACTTCCCCGGCGGTGCAGTGGTTAAGACTTCACCTGCGAATGCAGGGGACAGGGTTCAGTCCCTGGTCCGTGAAGATTCCACGCGCTTCAGAGTAACTACGCCCATGGGCCACAGCTACAGATCTACAAGCCTAGAGCCCGTGATCCACAGCAAGAGAAGCCATCACAATGAGAAGCCCATGCGCCACACCTAGAGAGCAGCCCACGCTCACTGTATCTAGAGAAAGCCCTCACAAAGCAATGAAGACCAGCTCAGCCAAAAATAAATTTAAAAAAAGAGGAGTAAGTGCTCAACAAATTTTCTGTTTACGTAATTTTAGTGTGACAAGGGGAGATATCTATGCTAGATTCCAGGTTCCTGACCAGGGTCACTCTGTCAATGTGGACTACGTGCAGGCTACTTTCCCTGAAAAGCTTGTAATCTCATAGAGCACTTGGGCTTCCCTGGTGGGTCAGATGGTAAAGAATCTGCCTGCAATAGAGAGAGACTTGGGTTTGATCACTGGGTGGGGAAGATCCCCTGGAGGAGGGCATGGCAACCCACTTCAGTATTCTTGCCTGGAGAATCCCCATGGACACAGTCCCATGGAATCACAAAGGGTAGGACACAAGTGAGCGACTAAGCAAAGCAAAAGAGCACTTACTGAAAAAACACTGTGAAGCTGATCCTAATGGGCCACAACTAAGATTTGATATACTTGTTGAGCCATGTAAGTAATGAGTGACACTCCTGAGTAGCTCCAGGATCTGGGCTGCCTGATGCAAGCAAGATTTTCTGCCTTTGTTCTTAGAAGATATTTTTCAAGTATCAAAAGTATTTCATGTGATTCTAATGCTCTTAAAGTAATCCAAGATCATTGAAAAAAGTAATAGGAAATACTCCCTGAAAAAGATTACTTCTTCAAATTTCTAGATTTTTTTTTTTTAGCTTAACAAAGCATTCTAGAACTTTCTGTGCCCCTTCCCCCCCAAATGAATTCTACCTCTGAATTCCTGCAAATAACTTTGGTGGGAATTCATGCTTGGTTCCTCAATTTCTTGCTTGTAGGAATAGATCCTTCCAGTTTGACTCTCTTTTACTTTCAGAGGGACACTTTGGTACAAATGATTTCCAGCCTATGGTGTTGCTTTCTACCCATCCATCCATTCATACATTCTTGGATCCATTCATCTACCAACCTACCCATCCATCTACCCACGCAGACTCTTTGACTGTGTGGTACACTGGTGAAGAGTCTAGAGTTTGGAGCCAGACCTACCACTATAAAGCTTTACCACTTACTACCTATGAGATCTTGAGGCTGTCATGTAACCTCCCTGAACCCAACTCCTTGTTTGTAAAATGAGGATCCAAACAAGTATCTCCTCACATTTCTCTTGTAAGGATTAAATTAGAATGACTATAGAGCATGGAGCACAGTTCTAGGCACTGACTACATACTCAATATTGGAAAGGCTTCCCTGTCCTTCACTATCTGCCTGAGTTTGCTCAAACTCATGTCCATTGAGTCGGTGATGCCATCCAACCATCTCATCCTCTGTCACTCTCTTCTCCTCCTGCCCTCAATCTTTCCCAGCATCAGGGTCTTTTCCATTGAGTTGGCTCTTCACATCAGGCGGCCAAAGTATTGGAGCATCTGTTCTTCCAATGAATACTCAGGGTTGATTTCCTTTAGGATTGACTGGTTTGATCTTGCAGTCCAAGGGACTCTCAAGAGTCTTCTCCAGCATCACAGTTTGAAAGTATCCATTCTTCAGTGCTCAGCCTTCTTTATGGTCCAGCTCTCACATCTATACATGACTACTGGAAAAACCATAGCTTTGGCTAGACAGATGTTTGTCAGCAAAGTGATGTCTCTGCTTTTTAATACACTGTCTAGATTTATTATAGTTTTTCTTCCAAGGAATGAGCGCCTTTTAATGTTGTGGCTGCAGTCACAAAATCTGCATTGATTTTGGAGCCCAAGAATGTGAAATACGACACTGTTTCCATTTTTCCCCATCTTTTTGCCGTTAAGTGACAGTTATTCCACAAACCAGACGCTGTGCCAGTCACAGAACACACAGCTGTGAACAAGAGTTTGGGGCCCTGTCTTCATGGAGTATATAGTCTGGAGGAGGAGAAAGACATGGAATTAGTAATTTCTCCCAAATAATCCCATCTCATTAAACAGCTACTATTCTCCCAGTTTATCAGGTTCAAAATCAAAGGGTCATCGTTGATTCCTTTCTTACTACTGCCCCCTTCCCCTGCACCCAGTCCCCATATCCAATCCACAGGTAAGTCCTGTTAGCTCTGCCCTCAAAAGATATTTCAAAACAGGCCAGTTTTCACCATCTTCCCTTATCTGCACTCCAGCAATGAGCTCTTTAACTGGTCTCCTTACTTTCACTCAAGCACCTTATAGCACATTTTCCGAGAAGAGCCACAAGGATCTTTTCAAAGTGTAAATCAGATGTTGTAGGTCCTCTGCTTAAAGCCCTAAAGTTAAAATAAAATTCAACCTTCAAAGCCTTACTGGCTCATGCACCTGCAGTCTCACTAACCACAGCTGCACAGAAAATCTTTCTGTGCCTTGAACACATGAAGCCCTTACCCATCCTCCCATACATGGCTCCTCCTCACCCACTGGGTCTCTGCTCAGATGTCTTCTCTTCAGAGAGGAGGCCCCCCAACTGCATTGGCCCCACCCCATTACCCACTTCCAACCCCACTCCACCCCCATCATTCTAATCCATTACCTTATTTTATTTTTTTTATATCACTTTTTTTCTCTATCTCTCTCTCCCTCCCTCTCTCCCTCCTTTTTAATTTAATTTTATATTTTGACACACATGTGGGATCTTAGTTCCCTGACCAGGGTTTGAACCCGTCTGTGTCTCCTGCAGTGGAGCAGAGTCTAAACCACTGAGCCACCAGGGAGGTCCTTCCATCCCACTTTTTAAAATCTCTACGTATAACTGGTCTCCATGAGGGGCAGGACTTTGTCTCCTTGCCTCCATATCCATGTGCCTTGAATAAGACGCGGTCCATAGTATCTGCTCCAAAAATATTTTTTGAATTAAAGATTGAAGGGCTGAGTGCATAATAAAGTCTGTGTGATCACAAGAACAGTACAGCTAGGGCGGCGGGGTAATGCCTCCTCAACTATGTACTGGAAAAGACTTCCATCTGTCTGAAATTGAAATTCAGTCCTGCCTGGTAGCAAGAACTTGGATTAGAATTTCCTCAGAATTCCTTCCAATCCAAGATTCTGGGATCCGTGCCTTTTACTGTGTCCTGAAGTGTCTTCTTTTCACCTGGTTTTTAGTAATACTCAGATTAAAGACCTGCTGTGGCCGAATGGTTGGTGAAACGGAGACCTGGCCGCCACTCTTAAAAGAGCAATCAGTCATCTTCCTCAAAGAGGCACTGCCAGACTTTACTGAGGTTATTTTTCAGCTGAAGTCCTGAAATAACAAAGGCTCCCATTTGCAGTGTACCTGCTACATTCCATCCACCTTGCCTCCGTCTTGGCTCATTCTTACACCCACTCTGCAGAGTAAGCATTTCCCTCCTCCTCGTCTTGCATATAAAGAACCCGAAGCCCAGAGAGCATAATTGCCCAAGGTCAGAGAGCTGGTTAAAGTGGGGAGCTGGGGTTCAGACACATGTCTGTCTGGCTCTGATGTCTGGGCTGGTTCCCCAGCATTCTAGAGGGCCAACTCCTTAATGCAGGTGGTAGATGGCACTGATGTCAACCTAGCTGATGCTAATTTAGGAAAACAACCCTGAGATAAAGAGTTAGAGCAAGAAGACTGTAATGAGCTTGCTGGCCTAGCGGGAATGACGAGTTTTTATCTATTGCAGGTCAGAGCTATTTGGCTTCTGGAGCTTCGAGGGCAGGCGCTGTCAATGACAGAGAGCCTGTGATGGGTCCTCCCCGTGATGAGACCCTGCTGGGTGACAGAAACAAGAGGTTTGTAAGGAGACCAGTGGCGTCAGAAAGGCCCTGGACAGAGGACAGACAGATGCTGGGGATGGGATTCAGGAGAGGGAAGAGGTGTAGACGTGCCCACGGCAAGAGATTGGGAAGGGGAGTCTGGGAGCCCCCTTCCTTCTCCCAGGATGGTCTTCACTGAATCCCTGGCTGAGGTCCCCTTTTGTTCCGCTTAGAGTGTTTCACTCAGAGAGAAGGGAACTTGGCTGAACACTGAGGCAGGGGTGGGTGGTGGGTGGGTGTGACCTTCCTAGTCAATTTCCAGTGAAATCCCATCAAGTTCTTAACTTCCCCAGAGTGGCCGCCCCTGACCTTCTCATCTAAGGTCATGAATCAGTCACCCCTCACCCCTACCAGCTCTCTTTCTCTCTTCTCTCTCTTTTGCTTCTTGGCTTTCGGTTTTTGTTTTTAATGGATCCTACAAGGATCTTAGTTCCCTGACCAGAGACTGAACCTGGGCTCTTGGCAGTGGAAGCTTGGGGTCCTAACCACCGGGCTGCCAGGACATTCCCTCTCTATCTCTCTCTGTTATCTCCACACACCGTTCTCCACTGCACAGCCCCCTCGCAGTGCCCACCAGTCCTGCTCTAGGACGTGATTTCTCCTGGTTCTGTCCTTCACTTGATATCCTGTACTTGATGGGAGTATGTGACATGTTGCTCCCATGCTATTTAATTAGCGTTTGTC